AATTTGCTGTATAAGTACTTGATATAATTTGTTTTTTCCATTTCAAGTTTGTTGAAAAATATACACCTAAATCTCTCTCGCATTCAGAATCTTTCAGTTCAACACCATTTAAAGTATATTTCAATCGCGGATTATTTATACCATAATGCATTATAACACATTTACTAGAGTTAAAACCCAAGAGCCACTTTTTAGACCATTCCTCTGCACTATCCAGATCTTTTTGCAAGCTATTTTCCACATTTATTTCATTCACTTTTGAAAGAATTTTTGTATCATCTGCATACAATTCTGACTTATTTTTAAATATATTTGATATATCATTAATAAAAATAATAAATAATAAGGGCCCTATTATGGATCCTTGCGGAACACCACTGAAGACTTTGCGCATTAAGAAACAACATCACCTTGGATAACTCTTTGGATTCTGTTTTTAAAAAAAGCATCAATCCATTTTAATAATAAACCACTAATTCCATATGAAGATAGTTTAAATAATAGTCTTTTGTGAGCAATAAAATCAAATGCTTTAACAAAATCTAAAAGTGCTTCATCTACCGAAATACCAATCGATAAATTAAATGAAATAATCCAACGCCTCTAATAAGTTTGTTGTACAAGACTTCCCTTTAACAAAACCATGTTGTGACTTCGATATTAATTTATATTTCATTAATGATGCAGTCTCTGACTATACCTTCCATAATTTTACAAGTAATTGACGTCAATGACACTGGTCTATAATTTGCAGCTTCTAATTTATCTCCTTTTTTGAATAGTGGTGTAATATTTGCTGCTCTCCATTGAGTTGGTAGTTCACTTTTAACAAAAGATTCTATAAAAATTAAAGTTAATGGCAATGCTACAGAATCCGCACAATTTTTCAAAATCAACAGATATATAGAATCAACTCCATATGTTTTATTGATATCAATATGTTTCAATCTACTTAAATCATCAAAATAATCTATATTAACTGCATCAATAATAATATCCCCTAAATTCTCGATTTATGGAAGCTCTTCTGTAGAGTTTTCGATGGTAAACACATCTTGAAGTTGTTTATTTAAAATTTCAACAATTTCATTTTGATCATTTGTTACGCAACCAGTTTGATCTCTTAATGCTTTAATTACTTGTTTAATCGTTTTTTGACTATTCAAATATTTATATAGCAGTTTCGGTTTTACCTTTGATTTTTCAACAAGATCATTTTCATAGTTACATCTTGTTTTACGCGATTCTATTTTCACAGTTTTGCAAATATTTTTATATTTCATTACTTTATTCAAATCTTTCCAGTTCGATGATAAATTTTGATAACGCAAATTTTGTTTTGAACGTACTAGAAGACTTACTTCATCAGTAAACCATGGATTATTTTTTATTTTCTTTCTTGAATTTAAGTCAATTATTGGAATAAAAGCGTTACATGATTGACTAGTTCTTTTCAATAAACAGATCATACATAAGTTGAACTGATAACCCATCAAATAAATAACTTCAGTCAATTTTATCAATACTTAGGCTTATTTGTGGATAGTCACATTTACTGTAATCAAATTTATACTTTGGATAATTTTCCATTGCAATAGCATCAAGATTAAATTTACAAGTTAAAACCAAATGTCTATGATTTAGATTTCCTAGAACTGGATTAGACTCAAGTTGATAGACTCGCTTATTGTTTTTTGTAAAAATAAGATCCAAGGTATTTTTTGTAACATATTGTGCATTTTGAAAGGTTGGGATTGATACGTGTTGGTACAAAAAACATTTATATATAATATTAATAAATTCATTTTCAACAGAATCTTCACCTACTAAAATATCACTAACGTATCCATTCGACCATTTTACATTTGAAAATTAAAATCACCAATAACTAACAAATCTGCAAAATTATTTTTTTCTACTAATTTACAAGCCTCTGTGAATATTTGACTCATTTCAAGCATATCTACTTGTTCGCTTGGTCTGTACACGCAACCAATTAAATATTTTTCATCATTTGCAACTATAATGATCCATATTTGTTCAATTTTACTTCTATTTAATATACCTTCGTTTACCTCATAAGATATTAAGTTGCAATCTATATATAGCGCAACCCCTCCTCCTCTACACCCATCCCCCCTATTTGGTTTATACAAAGAATATCCTTCCAAATAAATTTCCGATGTCTCATTAAACCAGGCTTCTGTAATAGCAATTATTTGAGGATTTTTAAAACTGCATAAGATTTTAAACTCTTCAACTTTGTTTTCTAAATATGTTGCATTCGTATATAAAACATTAAATGATAACAAACTTACTAATTTTTTATGTTGTTGTGTTAAGTTGTATTTTTAATTTGACAATTCCATTTCCACGGATCGCATATCTAAAGGGCGAGTTTGCAATTCTTTCATAATTCATTTTTTCACGTTTCTTTCTGAGCTCATAGTTTTCCATTCTCTCTGCTTCAATTAAATCAGGCGAAATAAAACCTCCTTGTAATCTTGCTTTACTCTTAATAATTTAGATTTTGCTGAAATTGGATTTCTCTCAGAATTTTCATTTACAATCACTAATACTGGTCCCGGTTTTCCAGTTTGTTTCGTATTTAGCCTTTTTTGGAATGTTGGGACAATTTCTACATTTATTTCATGAAATAGTTTACTAGTCAAATGTCTCAGCAACTTAGAGAGGGAAATAGTAAACAACCATTTCCCTTTCTAAGTTGCTGAGACATTTGACAATTTTCCACAGCCATGATTTTAACTTTAATGTAGAATGCTGTTATACAAGCTGCAAAAAAACATTTTATAAAATAAATAGTTTTCGTAAGCATGTTTACCGTTATCATAAAAATTATGGTTTAAAACAAAAAGGTAATGACCATCGTGTGTCTGTGGTTGGTAAAGAAGAATTAGTTTTTAGTTGTGACACTTCTAAAGTAGTAGTTGATAGTTACTCTCTTTTTTTAAAGATTGTGTCTGAAAATATTGTGTTGAATTAATGTTTCTGAAATTGCAAGAAAAATATGTAGTTTCCAGCCAAGTTCACATTGAATTTGTATCTGATTTAAAAGAACTGTTTCAAACCTTTTTGACATCATACAACGATGTTATTGAGAAGTGCTTACCAATGCCGATAGAAGCTACATTTAAAAGTATAGTGACCTTCTGTGTGATGTCTTTTCACATTTTATGAATGAATATCAACTTGTTAAGTTTTGTAAAAATACTCTTTTTATGGTTGAGCCGATAGAAATTAAAACTATTGATACAAATAAAAAAATTCATAAATTCCACTATACAAGTTTGAAACGTAATCTTGAAAAAATACTTTGAAACGAAGAGGTTTTTAATGAATATGGTAGTTATTTAAATAAAATAACAATTTCAGACTCTAATAATGACAATTTAAGTGATTTTCATGATGGAGAAATTTTTAAAAAACATCCTTTGTTTTCCACTGAACCAACTGTAATTCGTATTCATTTGTTTATAGATGAGTTTGAATCTGTTATTCCTCTAGGCTCCAAGAGAGGCAAACACAAAATTATTGGTATTTATTACACTGTTGGAAATTTGCATCCACGCATCGCTTTCAAATGTCTCAGGTTCATTTAGCTGCATTGGTTCGTTTTAATAATTTGAAGAAAACTTCTTATTCTGAAATTATGAAACCATTAATTGATGAACTTATAGAGTTAAGTAATAATGGGATTATTTTAAAAACTAACAGTATGACTCATTCACTTAAAGTAAGTCTTGCTACAGTTTCAGCTGACAACATAGGTGTTCATGCACTAGCAGGTTTTCGCTGCTGTTTTAATTTAGGTAGGGTTTGTCGAACCTGTCAAGTTCATTTTGAAACAATGAGGCTAAAACAATATCACATTGACTGTTATTTAAGAACAGATCATAACTACAATCAACAGTTGAATGCAATAAATAAATTTCCTGTTAACAAATCTGTTTATGGAATAAATCAATCGTGCTGCTTGAATAATCTACCATTTTTTAATGTTTTGGAAAGTTTTCCACCTGACATCCACCATGATTTCTTAGAAAGAATAGTTCCTATGGTTTTAAAATTAGTTATCCAAAAACTGATATCACATAACATCATTTCTCTTAAACAACTTAATTATGAAATATGTAATTTTTCATTTGGGTTTAATGATAAAAAAAGTAAACCAGCGCCTCTAAGTGCATCAGTTTTGCCTAAGAAGGGTCGTATAATTGGAAAAGCATCTGAATTGTGGTGTTTTTTTAGATGTCTGCCAATAATAATATTAGGTTACATATCTAGTTTTAATGATGACTGCCCAGCCTACTGGTTGGTATATTTTGAACTAAGAAATATAGCTGATATCAGATTTTCACCAATTATTAAAAGAGATTCTCTTGGATATTTAGCTTATATGATTGCATCATTTGTTAATTCTTTTGTGGATATATGGCCTGGAAACTTTATTCCTAAAATGCACTACATGGTGCATTACCCTAGACAAATTGAACTATTTGGACCTTTGCAACATTTATGGTGCATGCGATTTGAAACCAAGCACAACTACTTTAAGTGTCTTTCTCGTGTCGTTTCTAATTTTAAAAACATCACTTATACATTGTCTAAGCGCCATCAAATGCGTTAGTGTTGTGAATTAAATTCAGTTGATTTTATGAAAATTGAGCAACACAATCAAAGAAATGGTATTATTATATCATTAACTTCATTACCTGAAGGTCTTCAAATAGAACTTACACATAACTTTTTACTTGATCAAAACACTCAATTGTGGAAAGTTACAAATGTTTCAGGGAATCACTATTCCTACCAAACTGGTAACTTTATTGCTCTTAACATTCTAGATGCTGGTACTCCTATTTTTATGTCACTCAAGTATATCCTTAAAATTAATGTTTTTTTTTCTTATTTAAAATGTTATATTATCAAAAAAAAAAAATTAAATTGATACAATATATTTAGCCAAGATTGTGTGTGTGCACGCATTTTACACTATTAGGACTGTATAATATAAAAAGTTGTTTCATAATTTATGTCTTGAATTTATTTTTTTCAGATTCAGTCAGATAAACTAACATTGCCCCCTCTTCTCCTTTCTGCTGTGGAAAGAAAAGAAATAGACTTTAGTACTCCTAAAAGGTCAAAACTAAAGGAGTATGTTATGGATTTTCTTTTTGATGTCATGAAGCAACAGTACAAGTTGTAAGTATTTTGATTACTGTGTAAATTATAATTTAAAATAGTATAATTTTTTAATTCTTAAAGTAAACATTTATTATCAGTATTAAAGTTGGCAAAATAATGGTGTTTTATATTTCTTAACATAGCTGTCAATAATAATGAAATATGTTACTGCTTTTCACTAAAATAAATGCTTTATAAATTTCCAAGTACAAGTAACTTCTATGAAATAGCAAATGAGCTTTTCCTAAGGTATCCTTCTCTAAAACCTCGTCACTGCAATGGCTTTGTGAGTATTTAACTGTATAATTAAAACTAATAATATCAATGGTGTTACAAAGTTATATAGCTAAAGAATTTTTTTTTTTATTCTATTGTCAGGAATTTCTTGTGCATTTGTTGAAGGCAAAATTTAAGCGAGTTAGGCGTCCTTTTCTAAATGATGAGCAAGTTGCACAGTTTAAAATAGAGTTCTCAAGAATTGATTCTGGTCGTAAGCGAAATTCTGTCTTGCTGAATGAGTCTGTTAATCTTTGCTCAGCAAAACGTCACTGCCATCATTCAAGTGATAAGGTAAGCACGATTTCACAGCATTTATAATACATATATATGAGAGAAAATGCATAGCGTATTTGATTTGATAGCATAAAAAAAATCCGTAAAACAAATTAGTTACATATTTTAATTATTATATAATAGAATGTGGATGATGGTATAACTCAAGATATTATAAAAAGCATGAAGAATGAGTGTCAGAAACTGCGCCCAGATATAGAATTTTTGGCTCACCAGATTATGTTGTCAATTGAGGCATTAAAATATACATGCCGAAATGAAAGAACTTCAGATGTCCTTAATAAATTCCCAGCACTTTACTATGAAAAAGTTGTAAGTGGTTTATGTAGTATTTTTTTGTATCTATATTGCTCTTTTAATGTTGTCTTAAAACTGTAGCTTTCCTGAATATGAGCAATAATTCGCCCATTTAATGAACTTGATAGCGGTTTAACGCAAGAACTTAAATAACAATTTTTCAGTTTTTTTTATTACTTTTATAAAGAAATTTACTTTCAATAAACATAAACTATATATAAAAATACATAACAAAATTAAAATTATAAAACTAAATAAAGTAGGGTTTGAACTGTATCTGGAAAACCTGGAAAATTCGTTAATTTTGGCTAAAGTCATGGAAAACCTGGAAATGTCAGCGTTTTTTTTTTCTTCTTTAGATATTTTGAAAAGTCAGGGAATTCAGATTAAGTTACCCGTTTTACAATTCAGCTATTATGTTTTTGTTGATGCTACCTTTTTACTTTTTTTGAAATTTTGTTTTTTTTAGTGTTCATTCTTAATCATCCTTAATAATAAGATCCATACTAACATGTATAATAAGATCCATACTAATATCCAACTTAACTAATAGCTAAGTTTTATAAGTTTTGTCATTTAAAACATGTACAATTTTAGCATTTCCATTACATTACATTAGATTGTAGTTTCAAACATTTTACAAAAACTATTGTTAAAAATAGTCAGGGGAATGTGTCTGATTTTTCAAAAAAGTTAGGAAAAATTCATGGAATTTTATATAAATATTTGGCTATGAATCCTGTAAGACAATTAGTTGCATCTTTAAAGATATTTTTACTTCCTTGGCGTGGGAAGTTCAAAATAAATTTTTCTGTGTTTATTAAACTTTTTTGTTGTCTGTGTTGTTATTTTCAAAGTCTGCAAATATTATTTTTGGTCAGCTAAATAACATATGCTGCTCCAGGGAGCCACTTCCCAAATTTTTTAGAAAAATCCTTGTAATATTAGGGTGGAATTCAAGGATATTTTTTTATATAATGGCGTAGTAAAGTTGTTTTCTTTGTTTTATTTTTAGCTTTTTGCAGCAGCAAGAGTTAAAACAAATATAGATATTAACAATAACTGCTTGTTATTATTGGGTAGAATGAAGGAGGGAATGAAGAAGTTAATAGATTTAAAAAAACCTTTGTCAGCTAGATGGCAAATATTATGCAATGGGGTACTTGATGAGATTAGTGATGGTAATAATTGTTTATTTAACATTAAAATTATTTAACTACTACTCTAATTTTGTAATTTTTATTTCACTTTTCTATTTTTAGCAACAATAAAAAACCTTCATTGTTTAATTCTTCCAAGCATTTTTTGTGACGAAGAAGCACTTTTGTTCACCATGACGCTAGTAAATTTTATTGATCGTTTAAATGATTGTATATCATTATATCATCGATTCGTTTAAATGATTGTATATCACTATATAATATAAGTCATTTTAATATTCCTTTATTTGAATAAAAATTGATGAAAAAAGTTATTCAGTTTAATTTTTATTACTTAAAAACTTAATGCTTATTTTAATGCAATATTTATTTTAATATTTTTAACATTTATATATTTTTATTCTAATTATATATTATTATAATTAGAATAAAAATATATATTATTAATACATTTATTTATTTAAATATACTAATAAAGTTAACTAATGCAATTTTTAATATTTATTAATTATATGCTTCTTTTTATTAGGTACCAATCTATCCAACCCCTGCTCTAAAAATTGAAGGAGATGCTATAAATCCAACACGAATAAGTCTTGTAGTTGACGGGCTGACACTGAGCAATTCTGTTCCTGATGTAACTTGTGGTTTGGGTCTCGTCATCTGCTCATATTATATTTTTGATATTGCGTATCCAAAGAAACTACAAAAAACCCTGTCTTTTCTAGAACATTATGTTTTCGAACGAAGGAGTAAACTTCCTGGCAACATTCCAAACATTGCTAGTTTTTTGAACTTATAATATTAAATTATAAAACTTAATAACTTATTGATGTTATTAATTTGTTTCAAAATCTTTATTTAAATCAAGTTTATTTTTTTGAACTCTCCACTTTTTAGTTGTTTTTATAGAGAATTTTTTTCCTTTTTAATTGATATAGTAGTATAATATTATATAGTATAATATTCCATAGTACATAAATCCTTCTATATGTATATATATATATATATATATATATATATATATATATATATATATATATATATATATATATATATATACATATATATATATATATATATATATATATATATATTTATATATATATATATATATATATATATTTATATATATATACATATGTATATATATATATATACATATGTATATATATATATATATATATATATATGTATATATATATATATATATATATATATATATATATATATATATATATATATATATATATATATATATATATATATATATATATATATATATGTATATATATATGTATATATTGATATATATATATATATATTTTTTTTTAATTTTCAAATTTTGAGAAAAAATCAGCATTAAATCTTTAAAGAACTTAAATTTTCTGTATTTTATTCAATAATTAGAGGTTTTTTTATGCACTTTTTTTTTAACACTATTTTTTATATATACTTATTTGAATTTGTTTGTATATACCATGATTTTTAATTTATTATTTTATGTATGTATATTTACAATTGTGAATTCTTATTTAACTTTTACCCCATGTTATCTTTTGCCATCCATAAATGATGACACTGCATAAAGAGGAAAGAGGTGCTTAAAATTTTGAGAATAATTGACAATGGGGTGTTTTAAACAACTTTTTCAAAGTTTATATTTATTTTACTTATGAATCACTGACATAAATTGACAAAACTACAACCTGATTGGTATCATCTGTTAAGTGTTTATCAATGACTTAAATTGAATAACCATAATTGGATAAGTATACTTAAGCTATAACTAGACTTTTTTAATACTATAGTTTATTAAACTGAAAATTCAATTAGTTACCTGAATTTTTTTGCACAAATAAACAGCTGATGATAAAACTGCTTATGATAACTTAAATTTTCTATCTAAGCTTATAAGCAGGATGCATTATGCAAAAATAAGCCATTATATAAAAATTTTTGTTTTTGTAACAAAATTTCAAATAAATTATAAAATTTCAAACTTTACTAAAAATAACATACTAAAAGTAACTTTACTCAAGGATTTAAGAAATTTTGTTGAAATATTTAATGCAGTTTTATTTAACAGGTTCAAAAATTTAATTCTTTTATTTGAACCAATTTAACAATGTCATCAATTTTGACAGTACTAAATTGGTTGAAAGTTTTACTCGTTATTTTTATAACAACTACATCCATTTCTTCATTCAAAAACGAGTTAATTCTACTATCTAATCCTGCTTCTCACAAAATTTTTAAATTCAACTTTTTGATTAGGAACGGTTTTTTTTATTTTTATTGTATTTTTAATAAGTTTGTTCTTTTTTTGCTTCTACAACGTATTTGATAAGCACTTTGCATTTCCAACATTTGTTCTATGAGCTATGGTAAACTTAAATTATATTACAGAATTTGCAGACAAATTAAAAAATATTAATTTGAGACATAACACAAATTTTTTATTTCTCTTAACTATATAATGATTAGCCTGAACTTTGATATTAACTTTGAATATTGACATTCAACTTTTTATACTGCACAATAACCTAAATCAAAGTCATCAGTAAAATTAAAAAGAAATTAATATAAAAAAATAGTATCAAATAAATACAATATAACAAAATACATACATTAAAAACTCTTTAACTTTTTTGCTGCTTAATTAAGAACTGCTCTGTCTTTTTTATTTCAGCCATAATTTTTAAAAAACAAACTTAAAAAATACATTAGATGTCTTGAATTCCTTATAATATATACAAGAACTAGAAAAGTTAATTCTCTGCTTATCCTTTTAACTAAGGATTAGTTATTTACTTTAAATATTTTAATTTAATGTTTTCAAACCATACTTATTTCAATATTTTATTAAACCTGCACACAAATTTGTACAAACATAAAGAATATAGTTAATATGGTTATCCTTGGATTCAATTTTTGTTATTCATAAATTTATTTATAATAAGACTTTGGAGGAAGATGGGTGGAAGATTGATAAAGGAAGATGAGTGGAAGATGGAATAGGAAGATGATCCGAACCCTGACTACATATGTAGATTGTTATAAGTTTTTATAAACGAATATTTTTAATTTCTTAAGCATGAATAGCTCAGAGGTAAAAGTCATCAAAGGTTAAATTTTCTGCTTGAATATGAAATTAAATATTTTTTGTTTTTTTTAATCTTGCCGATTTTTGATTTTGAACACAAAAGATCAAAATGCAATAGTTTAAGCATAAAAACTTTTAATTGTTGGTTTAAAAAAATTTTTAAACTATATATACACGATCCTTAAATATACAACCCATAAACTAACCTACTTTTAGAACACTGACGTTTCCACTTACAGATGTTTGTACAATAAGGCCTCTTGTAAAAACCCTATTCCAACAATAAATGCCAATTCCATTCGCTACTTCAAACTCAAGTGTTGAATTAGGCCATTGCAAAATTCTGTATCTAGAAAAATATCCGATCTTCAATATTTTAGCTCATGCAAAACATTTTATTCTCTAACATGTTTGTGGACCTGAAGCACAGCGTCAGATTAGGAGTTTAACAAGAGAGTCTATCATTTGTACATAACATTATAAGTGGACTTTTTTACGTTTGAATATTAAATAATGTTTATAATTGCAGATTACATTTCAATTAATAATTAAAATCTTATTTTAATTTAATTTATTTAAATGTATTTACTGACATTTACACTTAGAGATTTTTTACTTAATACTATAAAAATGGAATTTTTTATATTAAATGTAATTAACATATTTTTATTAGTTATCAAAAGTTAAATAAATACACATATTTACATAAGCTCCTTAAACTCCCAAACTCCCAAAATTTTAAAAAATTTTTAAAAAACCGCAGTAATAACGACTAGAAAGTTTTTTTTAATTTGTGGTGCTTTTGTTTTTGTTTTATTAAAAAACATTTTTAAAACATGCGTAAATGTTGCTACATCGACTATCTTATAGCCTGCTGCTACAAGGGAGTGTTTCTACATCGACTACCTTTTAGCCTGACTCGCAACGGAGTGCTGCTACATCGACTGACAAATAGCCTGATTCGCAAGGGAGTGCTGCTACATCGACTGACTAATAGCCTGACTCACAAGGGAGTGCTGCTACATCGACTGAGGGTTTGGTTTGGGCTGGCAGTCTATCGATTAAAAAAAAAAAAAATTAAGTTTCTTAACTTTTTTTGATCTGGTTTATTAACGCGCTTTTTAAAACTACAGTTTATGGGAAATATATATATATATATATATATATATATATATATATATATATATATATATATATATATATATATATATATATATATATATATATATATATATATATATATATATATATAAAGGTTTGGTCGGGAAGCGGGTGCGATCGAATATTGATACTTGTTGAGATTTCTAGCATAAATTATTTTGAAAATATACTATCAAACGAACTATTATTTTAATTCTTGGAGCCACATATACAAAGCTATAAATGTTTTAAACTAACATTATTTGGTTACAATAATAAATGTTTTAAATTTATATTTTTTAACTTGTATATATATTATAGATTTTATTAGTATATTCTTATTTTTTATATATAAGGGATGTATTTTTTATGTATATAATGTATTTTTATGTATGCTATGTATTTTTATTTATGTAATTTTATGTATGTGTATTTTATTCAAATGTAATCTTTTAAAGCAGTTAGTGCTATTGATTTGTAAACAAAAATACTTTCAATAATAACTGCGTTTTCTATAAAATTATTAATAATCTTCAAAACTAATACAGAAAACTTTAACCAATAATCCATTTTCCTCAGTGTACCCGATAACTGATTCTTTCTCCCAAGAATAAAAAGTTTTTAAAATCTTAGAAATTAGTTTACTAACTTTAATTATTTTTGCTTCAGCCATTCTTACAAACTGGTTATAGTTAAAGTTACTTTTTCTGTTTTAAATACTAATCAAAATGGGGGGCATTATTTTGGGGGCCTTTTTATGTGCCATAGCGTAAAAATGACTAAAAAAATACCGAATGGTCCTCTTGACTATTTCCCCTAACACTGTGAGTCCCGGGGCTATAGCCCTACTACCCCCACCTCACCTCCTCAATCCAGCACTGGAAATAAGACATAAGTATATAAATAAAAATTATATATACTTTTTGATAATTCGAAGAACATTTGTTTCTTTATATTTGTTACTTTATATAAAAAATCTTGCTTAATTTTATAAAAAAAGTTATAAAAGAGCGACTTTT